CGTATTAACTCATCTGTAAACCTAATAATTTACATCCGGTTTTGAAAGAGAAGCATCTTAGCTCAGGAAATTGTTATTGAATATGTCAATGCTGTTGTAATGAAAAGCTTCTTCTAAGTATGTGGTTATTAAATAAATAATAAACTGAAAAAAATATTTCTCCTTTCTGAATTCATTCAGACGTTTATCCCTATCTTCCTTCAGTTTTTTTATTTCTTTGTGTGTTCTTTAAATTCTCAGAATTCTTTTATCATGATTATAATTGCTCTTTTGAGAGCCATGTCCTGCATTATCTCTAGGGGGTTCTCATTGTACTCCTCTAGAGGACTATTCATATTTGGTAGGGATATGTTATTTTCGTTTTACACGTCATTATTTTTTTCTCTGTGATTTTGACATGTTGATTTCTTTTGTAGTTTCTGAGCCTTATGTGAGACTCAAGCTTTCAAGTTTAGGTCTGCTTTCTTCTGTGAACTTTAGATGTCTTTGTGCTTTACTTTTTGGGCATGAAAAGCTGGTTTTTCTAAGCTTCTGGTTCTCTCTTTTGATTTTATATTGGAGTGGTCAGATTGCTTTTGTCTTCAGGAGTCCCCACAGAGGCCCAAGTCAGATGAGGATCAGATGTTCTCAGGCTTTCTCCTAAGCGCTGGATCCCTCCAGCAAAGATTTTTGCCTCAGGAATTTGGGGGTTGGACTGGCCTGGGAGCCAGGCCCAGCAAAGATGTTGGTCTAGGGCAGCTGGTGGCTGTTCCACCCAGAGATACAAAGGCAGAGGGGGCAGAAGCAGCCCCTAGGGCTCCTGGGTACCGTTGGACTGGCCTGGGAGCCAGGCCCAGCAAAGATGTTGGTATAGGGCAGCTGGTGGCTATTCCACACAGAGATACAAAGGCAGAGGGGGCAGAAGCAGCCCCTAGGGCTCCTGGGTACTGCGTTAAGGAGCTGGGTTAGTCTGGATGCAAAGTATCAGGAAGAGGAAAGGTCAGCCCCTGCATCCTGGAAAGAGGCTGGTGGGTGGTGCAGGCACTGGGAAGTAGAGGGAGGTAAGGGCAGGGCCAGGCCCAGAAGCAGTGCTCCTGGGGACCAGAGTAGGCACTGAGTTGGTCTGGATGAAAAGGATCAGGAAGAGGTAGTGGTTTCCCAGGTGTCTGGGGCCCCGAAACAGGGAATGGGACAGGACCCAGGCTAGGAAACGTTTGTCATTTTTTATAGTAAGACTACTCAGTCATTTTTAAAGTATGTTGTCATTCTTTTTAAGGTCACTGATGGGAAGATTTTTTAATAATTTTAATTTCTATAATAGTATCACATTGTTCAGAATTTGAAGGCTACACCAAATACAAGCATGGGAGACAGAAATTTCATTCTAATAGAATCAGTAGAGTCCTAATCTATGAGATAAGGGAACAGCTCATGACCAGGCCAGGGCAGATCAGCATATGTGCCATATTTAGGGAATGGTAGTCCTGTATTCCTGCTTTCCATTTTTCCTCTTTCTTGTAGGACACTGGAGTTGATCATTTAGTGATGAGCACTGAAAAAGTTGACCATTGTTTAAAATCTGGATCAAGGCTTAAGTGCATCAGACAGGATTTAGAGAATTCCTCCTTCAGGACAGTGTGAGAAGTAAATATTCAATGTAGAGATGCAAACTTAGGGGAAGACAAAGTCTCTAAGGAGATGCTGTGCTCATCACACATCAACAGTAAACACTGTGTCAATTTCCTGGGAGAGGCAGTCTCTGTGACTAATGAGCCTTTGGTGTGCTCCAAATGTGGCATAGCATCCTCTATGTTGAATTCCAAGATTGTTCATCTGATCATAAAAGGGAAACTTTCCTCTAGTGGGACTGGAGTTGGCTCCTTACAAAAAGGCCAGTGCAATGGTACTTTACTTTCATCTCTGGAAGAGGACCAGGATCATGTTTTGGACCAGGCTGTGTCCTGAATTTGTCAGTAATGTAGAAGACAGACAAGCCCATAGGAGTAGCACTCTCTTATTCATTACTGGAAATTTTTATCACATAAACCACATGTTAGAGAGAATAAGGACTAGCGCTATGTTTTCAACAGAAAAAAAATATCAGTGAGTATACTAAGTTAGCAACTCTATAGAGACTTGTTTTGAAAGCACTGGATGTGAGGGATCTTCTGGTTGCCAGATCTGCTGACATAGTGGGACACAGAAAATGTATGGGAAAAAGAGTCATTTTGTAGTGTGATGGACCCCTGGTCTGAATCTTTCTGAGTTTGCAGATCTGCTTTGTGATCTTCCAGCTCTGTTGTCATGGACTAACAATGTTTCTCTGATATATTTTTCAAACTATGTCGGAAATGTGTACGATTGCTTATGCAGATTGCAAGGGAATGATACCCACAAATACAATAAGATCTTAAGTAGCAATAAGATAATGTGGACGAGTCTCCAGCTGCATTGAAGTTTGTAACCCAAAAGATGTTGCTGCCTACCTAAGAATCTGAAAGTATACCCTAGAATCCAGAGAATAATTAGGAAATGCCCCAGGCAAGTTTATCCTCCACTAATTGTCTCTTCCTTCCCATAGATAAAATTCTACTGAAGAATGACAGATGGAAATCAGTCGTTGGTGACAGAATTTATCTTGGAAGGTTTAACTAACCGTCCAGAACTCCAAATTCTGCTGTTCTTCCTGGTCCTAGGCATCTATGTGGTTACTGTGGTGGCCAAAGTGGCTTTGATTACACTTATTTCTCTGAATTCACACCTTCACATACCCATGTATTATTTCCTCTTTAATCTATCTTTTTTAGATATTTGTTACTCTTCTGTCTTTACTCCCAAAATGTTAATAAACTTTGTAGTGGAGAAAAATACCATCTCCTACACAGGTCACTTGACTCAGCTCTATTTCTTCTGTTTCTTTATCATTGCTGAATGCTATATATTGACTGCTATGGCCTACAATTGCTATGTTGCTATTTGCAAGCCACTGATATATAATGTTATATTATCCCCTTGGATCTGTGCTATGTTTGTGTTTGGGGCATATGTGATGGGATGCTGGGCTTCCCTGGCCCATACTCTTTGTATGGCAAGACTGACCTTCTGTGATGGCAATATTATCAATCATTATCTATGTGACATATTGCCTGTGCTCCAGCTTTCCTGCACCAGCACTTACAACAATGAAGTTGTGGTCTTTGTTCTAGCTGGCTTGAACATTGTGGTGTCTACCAGCACCACTTTCATTTCCTATGGCTTCATCATCTCCAATGTCCTCTGCCTCAGTTCTACACAGGGCAGAGCTAAAGCCTTCAATACCTGCAGTTCCCACATAATGACTATAATGACTGTTTCACTCTTCTTTGGAGCTGCAGCATTTATGTACATGCAACTTTCTGATGCAGAGTCTATGGACAAGGGAAAAGTGGCCTCAGTGTTTTCTACAAATGTTGGGCCCGTGCTGAATCCTTTGATCTATAGCCTGAGGAACAAGGATGTTAAGCTTGCTCTGAAAAAACTCTGAAAAGAAAACTGTTTTCTTGACTAGAAATAAGGAATTTGAAAGAATGCATATTTCTGTTGCCTAGGTTGAGATATTTACCATGACTATATCTTGACCTAAACCAAGCATAATTTGCTCCCTTAATTCAAGTTTTGTTTTCTTTAAGGCATTTCTCCATTGCTCTACTAGCCTCTTAACTTTTATATACAATCACTAAGTTAAGAAGAAAAATATATCACTTTGTAATTTTCTATGAAGAAAGTCATTTTTTGATTGAACAAACACTAGAGATTGGATAATGGATTAATCCAAAACCATCACACGATATGCATTTCCACAATGAAGGGATCGGTGCCTGCTGCCTCTGGACTATGCACTGCTGGTTGTCTTTGTTGTCTTAGTGAAATTTATGTGAGACACACATTCAGATTTGTTCTCAAAACCACAAGAGGAAAACAGAAAACGCCTTAGAAACCAACCTTCCTTCCTTCGTTCCTTCCCCCCTTCGTTCATATTTTGTTAGTATATGCAAGACCTGCTCTGATTTTCATAGCTTTGAGAACTTGTTAAGACAAAGCACACGTGTCCCCTATATATCTAAAGTGCATACCCTGATGAAAATTGCCATTCATAATTTGAACTCAAGCAATCGCTGAAACATCAAGATATTTTTCCTTTACTATTCTTGGAATTTTTTGTTACTTCTATCACTTGATATAGTAGATACTGAGTAATAATTATTTGTCTGTTTCCTCTAATAGATCATGTGTCTCTGAGGACATTTTACCTTATATTTTGTCCATTCTCTTCTATCTTAATGTGATTTTTTTCTGATTATACTAATGTAAAATTAACCATATAGTTCTCATTTTTATACAAATAATCAAGTATTATACAAATAATGCCTTAGCATAAAGCATTATGATGAAGATTAAAAGTTGCTTAAAGTAAAAAATTAAGAAGTCATAGAAATACCTATAAAATTTCTGCCAACTCTATTCTTGTATATGGTCTTAATAAGTACTGCAGTTAAATTTTTCAGAAAGAGGAGTTGGAGAGATGGATTAGCAGTTAAGAACAGTGGTTGTTCTTGCAGAAGACCAGGGTTTGAATCCCAGCACTCACATGGTAGCTAACAACTGTCCCTAATTCAGGGATCCAACAGCCTCTTCTGACTTCGCAGGCATTGCACGACATGGGTGCACTTACCTACATGCAGGCAATACACGCACAGACATAAAATAAAAATATTTTTTTTTCAGAAAGCATAAAGCATTAATAGGGATTTATTTATATGGATTTAGAACACAAACCTTCAGAAAACATTTTAAAATTGCTACTCTGGCATATTGGGAGGCACAATGAAGTTTTGTTAACTTCAAATAACAAAAAATTCCATTAAATTCTACCTATATGCAAAATAAATGCTTTTTTCTAAGTTGCTTTAAGTGAAACATGGGGTTTTCAAATATTTAAAAATTATTGTATTTCTTATGCAAATAAAAGTTATGAAAAGAAATACAGATCAAAGATTTATTTTAGATAAATGAAAAAGCAGAAAGTTATTAAGATTGCAAAGTTGAAGGGGATGCTTTATCATCATCACTGGTAGCAAGTGCCAACAGAAATCTTTCTAGAGCGAGGAGAAGACATTTACCTGAACCATATGATGTATTTTATTATGTAGAAAAGAATAGTTTGAAACCCTATCAAGAAAGTCAAAACTCTCCAAGTTTCATCATCTACAATATTATTATTTTATTTTACTAAAGCAAAGTCTTACAAGTATTCAAAGGACATCAATATTATATGGAGACTAATAATTAAGTTGATGAAATTAAATAGCATGGAAATATTTAAAACTGCAATCAATATGAATGTGTATTGATGGCAATGCCATGAGTTTCCTGTGTCTTTCAAAACTCTTATATTTTTTCTCATAGTGTGCTAACCTATTCTTCTCCTAGAAGTTCTGTTCTGGCATCCCTAATATTTCTTCCCATTGTATCTTTGCTTCATGTCCTCCTTTCTTTTCAATTCCCCTGTTCTTTCACTCACAACAACCAACCTTTGCCCAAACAAAGATGCGGAATCTTATCTAAGAAAAAATGATCTAAAAATGTTTTTTTCCCATTTGTAATAAGTTAGATGCATCAAATAAAAGCAGTAGGATACGCACAATCTCTGTTAACAGAATACAGGTTTACACAAGGTCATTATTTTGATCATCCAATACCATCCCATCTCTTGGTCTTTAACTTTCTTTTTGTATGCCAAAGGGTGGTCTTGCTCTAGTCTAGATCTGATTAGAGATCATTTCCTTTGTTTCCTTTTAGATTTTAGCCTGCTAACTAAAGGAATCCTGTGTCTGCCAGTAGGAAGAGGTAAGGGTGGTGATCAGATCAGTAACTCTTAGTAATTTATTAGAAGGTAGTAGAAAGTACCTTTATTTTAAAATGTTCATATCTTTACCACCAAATTTATGTGTTTTAAAGCATTATTTTGACTCTAATTTATCTTGTTTCTCACAAGCTAAATCTCAGAAGGTAGTGATGTATTATGTTCTGCTAAAACTTTAAACATTGTTTAAAATTCTCACTATTATGAAAGATGACACTTAGACACTAAAAATATTAAGATCTTATAGAAAGGTGAAGTATATAATGTGATTGGCATGAAACGGAACTGCTAGAAAGAGAAAATACATGTTTATTCATTAAAATTAAAAGCATATGAACAAAGTAGATAAGCAGAACACTTATTTGACTAAATTATGTACAGTGCAGCAGAAGATAAATGTCGACTACCAGCCTCCAAAGGGGAGGGGAGAACTAGGTGGCAGCCAGTAGTAGCTACTACTTGAAACTGATCTGTGCTGAGTGAGGGAGAGTATCACATATACAACCAGTGGATGTGGCTGACTAGATTCCAGCAGACACATCTACACTGAAGCATATTTGGGTACAAATACTTGATTGAATAAGATTCAGTATGTATGGCAGAGTGCAGAGGGTTTCGTGGGGGTATGGGGGGGTGGCATGGATAGGGGAGGGACACTGGATTTGAGTTGAAATGATGTATAAAATTTAAAAAGCTCAATTAAAAATTGGCTACGAGAACAAAAAAAGCAGTAACAAAAGAAAGAATAAAGTGGGGAGGGATGGAGAGAGGGATGGAGGAAGGGATATATATATAGAGAGAGAGAGAGACATACAGAAAGAATTGAAACATGCTTTGTACATGCAAAATGACCATGTATTGTTCAGACCATTAAAAAGATATGAATTCTTAGACATGGAATAAATAACCCCTATGAACATTTTTAAATATCATAGTATTTTAAAAATATTTTTGTTGAATTTGTATGTATTTCATATACAACACTTTATTCATCTTTATACTCCTTCCCATCAGCACTCTTCCATACCCCCTGGTGGATTTCATTTTATAGCAAATTTTTGATATTTCTAAATAGAGAGAAAATGTGGAAGAAATGGAGAGAGAAACAATATCAAGGAGACAGACACAGAGGGAGACTGGATGATTATTACACAAAAGGGGGAAAAATAGACACAAAACTTCTGACCAGATAAAGAGTCCAAAGGCAATGGAGTTATGTCTTATCAATGCTAAGGGAAGAGAAATGTCAATCTAAAATTACTTATAGCACATATGAAACATATAGTAGCTATTTCCACATGTATATATAACACAGATGGAGACGAGACTGTAGGAGGATAGTGAATATGAACTAATGGACAGGTAAATGGCCTCATCAATGATACTGAAGCGCAAACATTCTCAGGCAAACATTAAGGCCTTTACTTTATCACTGCTGCCTTCTCCCTGGTGATAATTAACAGAGAGGTACATTTTGGAATTAGGAGCACAGAGTTAGGAATAAAATGACGACAATAAAGTAAAAATGTGAGAAGTTGGTGAACATGCATGTTGATTGCCTGGAGGAAGATATAGACACAGATTGGTTTTAAACACAGATAACTCAAAATGATTCAAAACAATATGCCTGTGCTTTAGAATCAGTTCTCAGGTGATTAAACAGACACACACACACACACACACACACACACACACACACAAGAAAAATAAAATAAAAGCTGAAAACAGGAAAAATAAAATCAAAAGCTGGTTTCTTAAATTACTAATACAATAGGAAAATGTGTCAAAAGTTAAAAAAATAATAAATGAGAGCATTTAAATTAATATTCTAATGAAAAATGTAGACATACACGGAACTCTGGGTAGAACATCATTTATATCAAGGATATCATAAAATTGGAAACAGATGCAATAGACAACTTTTACATGAACCTTAACTTATCAAACATGGGTTTTAAAATGATCTGCATAAATCTATAATCTACAATGAAATAGATGGCTGGAATCTTTAATCCTCTATCCTCAAATGCTAAAATGTGTTTACATGGAAATTCTAATAGGAGTGAAGAAAAAAATATATTTGACTATTGTGAATATATACATGCGCTAAAAATGAAGGCTTAGATTTCTTGGTGTAGCACTGAGAAAAAGCATCCAGAAATGTTCAACATGATGATGATTATATTCTCCAAAAACTAAGCAAAAGTATCATGAGTTTTAAGTAAACATAGATAACTGTAAAATACTGATTCAAATATATATATATATATGCTTTATGCTTTTTCTTTCAACAAAATGAGAAAATATGAGACAGTGGGGCAATAACATTGTCATCTCACAAGTTTGGAATGCTCAAAAGCTAGTTACAGAAGTGTGTGGAGCATGTGTTTCTAGGTGCAAAGCAGAAAGTTGAAATTTCAGCAGTAGTCTAAAATAATTACACCATGCAAGCAAGTGTTTCCTTGCAGGAAAGAGTGCTTTAATGGCATTTATCCCAATAACAATGCTGGTGAAGAACTGTATTCCCTTACTGATTCCCTTTTCGAAACATAGGCTGCTGATTAGGAAAATTCAATAATTCTTCCAGTCTAAAATAAATTTCTTTGTGTTGTCTGAAATCTACTACAGTGCGATTCATGTAGAAAATACTGCCCAGAAGGAGGATGCTTTAAACTACTTTGTGAATTTTAAAATGTGATAGAAAGACAATATGGGCTTTATTGTTGTTTTGCTAACCAAGCTGAATCCCTTGGGTGATGAAATGTTTTTGAGATCGTGAAAAGCCCCAGTTTTCTTCACTAATTGTGTAGTGCCCATGAATCTTAGGAGAGTTTGTGAGCCTTTGGGAATGAATTACTTTTATATGTCTAAGCCCTACCCAAAAATTTTCAAATAATATAGAATCCTGCTGTCTAAAGGTAATCATTTTATGGTAAGTGGATATCAATTTCTCAGAAGGTTCTATAAGTCCTAAATTGTGACTGAATAGTACTATTTAAGTGGTTTTAATAGCATTTAGTTCTTCAACATATTAGATTCATTTTACCACCTATAACACAGTACATATCAAGTTTTAAATTTTTTAAAATGTCTTCTGATTCCTTTAATTCTTAAAAAGTTAATTAATACATTTACTACTAAGGAAAAGCATATGTAACTTAATTAGTCTAGAAACAGATAATATTCATTTCCACATGAACTACTTCCAGAGTGGTGTTACAATTCTTATCACCAGGCTATGTGTTTGTTAATGAGGTTATATCTGCTTACATTTGAAGTGACTTCAGAGAAGACCAACTGCTTTAAAATCAGGAAATAGAAAATATAATCACAAATTTGAAATATTCTCATTTAGTCATTTTATATCTATGTATACCCATGATGATTTTATTTTCTTAATTTGATTTCACATTATCTGCATGGTGGTTTTGATATTTCCTTTAAGAACCACTGCTCAGCCACACAAACCTTGCCAGAACGCTTATTTCAATGACCTAAGGTCCTAAAATTTTGTTGACCTGCCTAGAAGTTATTTCTTCTGTGATTGGCTTACACTAGCTAAAACTTTTCTAATATAGTAGACAGCAATCAGTACTAAATTATAAAGTCTAGGTTATAACTGGGTTCTTATTTATCAATGAACACATTCAAGGACTAGATATTATTTAGGGAGAAGAAAAGCCCGTGTGCTGGGTTCTGTGACAGTATTTAAGGGCAACATCCACCTGTCTCTGGGATGCCTCTAGATTACCACCATAAAGCTTGACAACAGAATTGTTACAATATCACCAATAGATCTCCTTCTTAAATCCGAATAACCATCACAATGTTTGTTTGTCACTATTGATATAGATAACTGCCTATAATATATGACAGTTTTTCCCAAGCCAGTGTAGGAACAACAGGTATGAATTGACCTCTGTGCTTTTCGAAAAAACATAACAAATGTTTTGTTTTCATTTCTTGTACACACCTTTTCTGTGTTTTAGTCCTAGTTTTATATAATATTATGCTGAGTCAGTAGATGCATTGGGAAGTCGATCAAGATGATTTTAATATCACGCAAGCTATATTTGATATCATATCATGAAACTGAAATTTCTTTTGGCATGTGCTCATATGAAGAGGGTATTCATTATTTTAATGATGTAAACACATGAGTTAGGTTTGGAAAAATTGTGTTTATTCTTAATTTGAAATAGTTAAGGAGTTAAGCCTGAGAACAAAACAAAAACCCACTGGCTTAAAAAGGATAAATCAATAGGGTTGAGTATAACAAAGACTATGGTTGCATTCAGTTTTCATCTCCAAGCACTCTATAGGTCCTTGTACAGAAGAAAGGTAAGGGATACATGAGGTTATAAGAGAGAGAAAACAACAAAAGACCCATGACCTTCTGCTTTAAGAATCAGAAAATAAAATTCCTTATGAACTCTATGTCTCTCTACTTCCTACAGATAATATTTTATAAGAAATGGCTACCACAAACCATTCTTTGGTGACTGATTTTATCCTTGAAGGGTTAACGAGATGCCCAGATCTTCAATTACCACTCTTCCTCTTGTTTCTTGGAATATATGTGGTCACAGTGGTGGGGAATTTGGGCATGATTCTCTTAATCACCATCAGCTCTCAACTTCACTCCCCAATGTATTATCTTCTCACTCATTTATCCTTCATTGACCTCTGCTACTCCTCTGTCATTACCCCTAAGATGCTGGTGAACTTTGTGTCAGAGAGGAACGTGATCTCCTTTCTGGAGTGCATGACTCAACTTTACTTCTTCCTGATTTTTGTCATTGCAGAAGGCTACCTCTTGACTGTCATGGCCTATGATCGCTATGTTGCCATCTGTAGCCCACTACTTTACAACATAGTCATGTCCCACAGGGTCTGTGCCATAATGATGGCTGTTGTGTACTCACTGGGAATCTTTGGGGCCACTGTCCATACCACCCGCATGTCAATGCTATCCTTCTGTGGGTCTCATATTGTGAGCCATTACTTTTGTGACATTCTACCCTTGCTGACTCTTTCTTGCTCCAGTACACATATCAATGAGATACTGCTGTTTATTATTGGAGGAATTAATACCTTAGCACCAACACTAGCTGTCATCATCTCTTATGCCTTCATCCTGACTTGCATCCTCCACATCCGTTCCACTGAAGGTCAGTCCAAAGCCTTTGGTACCTGTAGTTCCCACATCATGGCTGTGGGCATCTTCTTTGGGTCTATTACATTCATGTATTTCAAGCCACCTTCCAGCAATAATATGGAACAGGAAAAAGTGTCTTCTGTTTTCTACACCACAGTGATTCCAATGCTTAATCCCCTTATCTACAGCCTGAGGAGCAAGGATGTGAAGAATGCACTGAAGAAGGTGATTGGTGGAAGGCAGTCATCCTAACCTAGCGAGAACAAGAAAGTAAAGGCCCTTACTCTCAATGAGAAAGATTAGTCATACCTATTTAAATTATGAATATTTTCTGTTTGAGAAAAACTGATACACGTTAAAATTTATTTTTATTCTTTTTTTCTTTTTTTATTGAAGTTTTGTGAATTTAATGCAACATATTTTGATAATATTTAGGATCCTTACCCTATCTGTTCCTCCCTTTACTCCACTCTAACAACTGTCAAATAAAAATATATAATTATATAAATAGATAGAGATAGAGAGAGAGATTATAGATGATAGATGTTGATTGATAGATAGATAGATAGATAGATAGATAGATGATAGATAGATAGAAATAGATAGATGATAGATGATAGATAGATTGATAGATAGATAGATGATAGATAGATAGATAGATAGATAGATAGATAGATAGATAGATAGATGATAGATGCTTATAGAGTCAAGTTTGTGTCCTCAATTGCACTTGTCACAGGTTCATCTACTGGAGCCTGGTTCACCTACCAGGAATCTCACCCATAGCCAAGACTGACTCCCTCCTTCCTTGCAGACATCAATTGTCAATAGTTACTTTGCAGGGGTGTGGTTTCATATACACTTCCCATGTCTGTACTGGTATTTGTCTCCCATGAGCTTACTTGAGACTGGTTTATGTTGTCACCATTGATGTGAGTTCATATGAGAAACTGCACAAGTGCCTGGAAACTCTGTTTCCTTCTGTTGTTCACCTCCTCTGGGTCCTATAATCTGTCACTTTTGCAGATTTTCAAACAATACAGTTTTCTGATGGACAAAATGACCTTTGGAAATGTTTAAGGGAAAGAACAGTTAACAAAAAAGGAATAATGTATAAATACCATGATTTTAAGGCTGTGATATTAATTGTCTGTAGCTAATAATACTTAGAATTACATAATTACATTTAAAGGAAGTTCTTCCTGAGTTTTGAGACAAATACACATATGAATGAGTTTACATCCACATTCAGTTAAGATACCATTTCAGTAATTTTCCCTAATATGGCAAATTGTTCAGTGTGAAGAAAAATTATGTATGGTCGTCTTAGTCATCTTGTATAAATGTTTTATCTTAAGTACCTCATTTCTTTATAAAAATGATTAAATTTAACCATACTGTGAAAACTTTATTTCAGTTTAAAAACAGTTTTATGAGATTGTTGAACTCCAGAGTAAAAGCCTTAAATATATAAGGACTAAAAAACACCAAATGGAAGATAATTGGCATAAAATATGAAACATTTTACATATGAACAATTTTAATTGGAATAGTTCAGTTTTCTTCAAAAGACAAATACAGATGTGGAGTACATTTTCATTTTGATTGATGGTTTATGACCTGATCCCAACATATCCATGCTATTGCTTTGTGCATTTGGTGACACGCCTACAGTGACAGCCCCTCTTTCTGCATATACACAGTTGGTACTAGGATGTACGATGAGTTCAAAGGCTTTCCTTTATGAGGAGGTAGTGGCATATTACCTGGAAATCTTTTTTAATTTTCTGTGTTTGTTGCAATACTTTTCCACAAATCTGGTAGCTTAAATTAAAAGGCATTGTACTGTTATAATTCAAGCACCAGATAGTCAAAATTACAGTTAATGGAAAGACTCCAACTAATGACTTGACTGAAGTTCATTCCTTCTAGAAATTCTAGGAGAGAAAATGTACAAATGGCATCTCAGCTTCTTAACAGCTGAGGTGTTTAGTTTGTGTTTGTATCACTCCTATTTCTGCCTTGTGGTCATAAAAGAGGCACTTTTGAGTGAAATCATCATCTTCTATCTCTTATAAACTATGTCTGATTCCATTTAAAGTGCACCTTATGAATCATGATATTCAGTTGTATATTAAGATTCTTAACATGGTCACATTAATAGTCTTTTAAAATTCCATATAAAGTAACAGACACATATACCTGGGGTGATGGTATGGATGCATTTTGGAAGGGATTTCATCTTATCACAATTCTTCAGGGACACCAAGGCCTTGAGATTATTTTAAATGTTACATATTCTCTCTGGAATTTTTAGAGCACTGGATAATTCAATAGTACGGAAACATAACTCTGAAAATGTATTAATAATAAATCAGAAAATGTTCCCACATGTCACAATATTTGTAAGGAATATATATATATATAATTAAGCATTGCATTAAAATAATACCTCTACCTGTTTCATATACTACATCTTGCAGAGACACTGTTAATAAAATTCATATCCAAACAACACATGTAATTCATAGAAAGTATCAATGCATGAACAGTCACAATGATATCACTTCTTTTTCCTCTTGGAATTATTTGTTTTCTTGAGTTGACAATAGATAGAGTCTATTCTACATTTTCTTGATTTCTCTAATTTCCACATGTAATTTCTCAGCTGGAGTAGGTCAGGCCCAAATCCTATGTGATATTCTCAGGTAACAAGTATACACTCCCTGTGTCCAGAGAGGTACTTGTTCATCCAAGGGGTGTCAGCTGACCAGGCCTGTAAGCTGACCAGTCAAGGGCGCTGTGGAGAATTGGCTGAGGAGAGTTAGCCATGGAGGAAGGCGTGCTGGTGCCAACTTGGCAGGGGTGTGGAAAAATGGCCTGGTGTCTCGCCTTTGTGGACAAGAGAGGGGGGATTTACTGACCTGGGGTGAGACTGTGGGCACACAAAGCATGGGCAAAAGCTCACGGAGACTATGGGCAGGGGCTGGAAGCAATCTGGAACTGCTGTCACTGAGCTACAGAATGGAGCAGCTGCTGGGTGTTCACATTTGTGGGGTACCAGGTGTTCACCTTTGTAAATTACTCTATTTCCCCTACCCAGGATATAAATTGTGAACAATTCAGATAAAGATGTGTTATATGGTTTTCCTAATAGCACCAGGAGTAATGGACCCTAAGAGAACTTGGGAACACAACCCATCAGCTAATGCAGAATATATTTCCCAGGAAGATAGTTGAATAAGTGAACGAAGAGAATATATACTAATTATAGAATATTATTGAAAGGTTAACCTTGGGTTATATCATCAAATTTATTAATGTCTTAATTTTTTTTACAAAAACTTTATTGAGAATTTCATATGAGCATATAAGGTGTTTTGATAAAATCCATACCCACATCCTCCATTCCAACATTCCCTCCTCTGAAGAGGTAGCCCTAAAATCTTTTAAGGATTCTATACAAGCTCTCAAATATTTTTGACATTTTTGGCCTTAGAACAAAGTATGTTGCTAACAGGCCCAAGAACATTTTAACTTTTAGCCTAGAAACTGGCTACATTTCTTTAGGGTCTTTTTACCCTAACTGCCTAGCCAATTCCAATTCTTATCACACCATCCTCTGAAGGAGTTACCCAAACTGCCAGTAGGGAATAGGGACGAAGACCACTCTGGCTTCTTCCATGCTGAGCAGGGACACAGGGTGAGGCAATTGGAGTACCCCTTCAGTGGGTCTATCTAAAAGACTCCCAAATTGCATAACTTATCTCCAGGGGGAAAAGAAAGTCCTTGAATCTTGAATGGGAGATGTGAAGAAGTAAAGGCGAGAGTGATTAGCATTACAAGTTCTAGACAGGGAACTAGAAAAAAAGAACAGGGCAATTTTCAAATGTTCATATGAGAGTCCACTGGAATTTCTTGACAAGGGCTTCCAAAAGCGTCCCTCCATTGGCTTCTTCTTCATTTTTCTTTTCCTGTCTTCTAAGGCTGGACTCTAGAGTGATGGATTCAGAGTTTGCTTTCAGATATTTTGATAGCTGTTGGAGTGGTTAGAATCAGTATCAGTTCCCTCATGAATGAGCACAGCTCTCAACAAGCCCAATTGTGACTATGTTTAGCAATCAGGCTCAGCGGAAGTCGTGATGATGGTAGTTATTTCATGCAGAAGGGACTGGCTTAATTTTTTAACTTGCTTATTTATTTCTCTTGATTCTTTGAGAATTTTATACATTGTACTTTAATCATATCCAGACCCCCACCCACATCTCCACTTTCAATGTGCTACCATCCTTAAATTCATGTTCTTTAGTCTTTTATTATATTTTTATTGTAATAAACTTTTATGCATCATTTAATTACAAAAGCACATGAAATCAGTCTCCAGCAGTTCCCAGACTAGGGTCTGCCCACTGTCCATGACCCTCACTTCACTCTGGGTTATCTTATTTAGTTGGCATGGGTCCTGTGCCCAATACCGACATTGCCACAAGTTCTCATGTGAAAGCTCCCAGTGGCCTGAAAGCTTCTGCTTTTTTATGTTCATCACCCAACCACAGCTCTTACAAACTTTCTGTTCCCTCTTCCTCAATGGTACCTGACTCACAGGTGAGAAAGTTTTAATATAGGAGTCCTATACAGAGACACACACTCTGAAGTCCTTTATTCTTTAAAAGTTGGTCAGTTGTGGCCTTTTGTGTGCATCAGTCAATGTCGTATAAAGAAGTTTCACTGGTGAGAGTTAAGAGATGCACTAGATTTTTTTACTCCCCTCCCCCTGTTCTGCTATGTTCCATGAGCATTTGTATAGGTTCCACTGAAGATATGTCACCTAGGGCAGACGTTTATTCTCAGTGTGTGACCAGTTGTGGGATTCTGCAATAGCCAGCATCTGTTGCAAAAAGAAATTTATTTGTCAAGTGGTGTCCTGTATACTTGTCTGTAAATATAGGATCTATATTTAGCATAGGTTAAGAATATTTTTCAAGGATACAATTTTTAAGCACAAAACAGTTAAAATGTTATACTTAAAACCTGCTCAATCATTGGATTGATTTTTTCTTCTTTGTATACAAAGATAATTTGTTTTTTCAAATAGATGCAAACATTTATTTTTCCTTTTTATAAGAATAATTGTGAATTTCATACAATATATTTTGATCTTGTTTAGATCCTCTCCACTATCTGAAAACCCTTATTATTCCCAACTCAATTTCATGTGCTTTAATATACAAAAGTATACACAAAATTGACTA